TACAACACTTACTTTGAAAATAATTGCTTTTGCATAATTTTTATCGTTATATATATATATAGTAATGTTATTAACTATTTTGTCTAATAACAATGAAGTTAATGACTATTTTTCATAATAGATAATCATAAAAATATGTCAAAGCAATTATTTTCAAAATAAGTGTTGTAGTAAAACCAGCAGTAGAGCAGATTGATTGTTGATACTTAACAGAGAACAAACAGCGCTGGATTGAGCGCATAATCGCATAACATACAAACAATTGAGTAAAAGTTGTTTTCTTATGTGATCATGCATTAAATGGGTGTCTTTGACCATTTCTTTCTTTTTTCTTTTGAGACAGCCCTGTTTCAACCCATCGTAGAACATGTAGGCTACTAACTGTAACTGTAACTGAAATCTTTTTCTTATGTTAATATATTATTGTTTATTTTAAAATGTGCAGTGAGTGTTTTTTTCCAGTGCAAAATGGACACTGAAATTAGGATGCAACAAATCTGAAAACACCAAGCCCTAATGATGTATGAATGTCAGAGGAAAGCAAGGATGTCTATTTCTGCAGTCTGTGTGTGTTTATGAGGTGAGTTAATCATAGACTTTTACTCGTCAACTTTTGGCTTTACAATGTTTACATTTCAGAGACAAAGTGTTTTAGGAAACTAAACTAAACACATAACTGGAGAGGTTTCACCAAACAGTCACGCACTACTGCTCCTGTCATTGCATCAATATTTAATATGTATGTATTGTGTCCAAAGGTCTTAAATATAATATATTTTAAAACTAAGTTAAACAAGTGGGACATAATACAAACATTATTGAAATATCTCCAGCACTTTCCCAAGAAACTTTGAAATTGCACTTCAAGCTTTGTGTTTGTTTCTATGATCTGCTTAAATGCAATAAGACGATGTTATTTTGTGTCCGCAGTTTTCTTGGTTTGACATTTAAGTACTGTACTTTTCCCACACCTTCCTGACATAATTACTTGTTTTATGATTTTTGGAAAGTGTTGCCTTGTTTACAATCCAAACCTTTCCAATTATCATGACATCATATATTTATTTCTCTTGTACAGTAATTTCTCATACCTTTTCCCCTATTATTCAATAAAGATATTACTTCATATGTAAACTCTGTTTTGTTTTTATGTGCCTTTAGTTTTAATTTGATTTTTATTGAAGTACCACATGTAATTTAAGTTATAAATAAACCCGTACCTGTCTATAGATAAATGTAAATGCATTTATTTTTCATTGTATACACTAAGCACCAATCTCATCTGTTGCATCATCGTTTGAGGTTGTGTCCAGTTTAATTTCTGTTAAAGTCCTGCCTCTCACAATAAAACAGTCCCACATCTTTACAAACGCGTCACAAACTCACAGCGAGCCGAACTGAGAAACCAAACTACACGACATGTCCAACCAAGGTACTGTAATGTATTTAATCATTAAAGTATGATTTAGTTATTAGATGTTTGCATTTCATTAAACATGCTGTTTATGTTATTCTTGCATTTGGTCATAATTCAAGATACGTTTTTTTAAAGCCTTGATGAAAAGAACACGTAGATAATTTTAAGTTAAATATATGCATCTTACACAGTAAACAAAAAAAAGAAGTTGGTCTGAGCACAACAGATCACCAGACCACTTTTGTGGCTCGGTCTGGGTCTCAGTATTAGTCTTGTGTTAGATTAGTCTTAGATTAATCATGGTTTACAGTGATAATTTTCTCAACTAATGAGCGCATTATTTCATTCTCCTTACGTCACTGAATGCAGGTTTGATGAAGATAAATTTAAGACTTAAGACCAAGGAAAGTCAATTTCGGGAATGAATTGAAGGGAGCACAATATGTCAATATGGTCTCTAAATATAAATGTCTTGTATTAGCAGCGCTTCAAAGTTTACAGATCTCCATTACTTTTTAGATCTCCAAAAATAGCTAAAATATGGAAATAATTTTTACTGTACCCTCTGATTATGCTGCAAAAAGTGCTGTTCTTCCTCAGAATTTTTGTCTTGTTTTCCAGTGAAAATGTCTAAAGATCCTTGATTCAAGATACTTTTGCTTGAAAAGCAAGATGACATTAAACAAGAAATCTTGTTTTCTGAGAAACTGATTAAAATGGAGTGAGTTTATGATTAAAACAAGAACAAATATCTGCCAATGGGCTCAGAAAAATCTATTTAATTCAAAGGGGAAATAAGTTTTCTTACCCCATTTACAAACATTTGTTCTTGTTTTAAGCATTAACTCATTTTATTTGGTTACATTTTTCACATTTTTCAAAAATGTAATCTCAAGTACGTATCTTTATGTATGGATGTTTAGATATTTGTAATGAGGAAAAATACTGAGGAATACTTTTTTTTTTTTTGCAATGCAAGCAACATTTTATGCCCTGACTTTGTGAATTTAAGACAATCTGCTCTGATTTAAGATTTTTAAGGCCTTTGTTTGTGGAAGTGCAATTTAAAAAATTTTAAGACCTGCAGAATCCCTGTAAACATGTCTGGGATGACCAGAAAAACCGTAAGAATATAACTAATAATTATCAATGTAAATGTTCCCTGCAGCTTTGAATTAACAAACGCTTTTTCCTCAGGAGCAAGTCACCACAGGCAGTGGTCCAACAGAAGCTCAAACGAGGGAAACAGAGCCACACAAAATGTTTGTTCTCCCTCTCAAACTCAGATTCCTCCCAGCACGATTACACAAGGTTCACCTGGCAGCGATCCGCTCGCAGTAAATCCAGCTCTGAATGAGCTGCGTCTGGTTCTGCTGGGAAGAACCGGTGCGGGGAAAAGTGCAACGGGAAACAGCATCCTGGGAAACAGATGCTTTAATGCTGAAGTGAGCATGAGTTCAGTCACTAAAGAGTGCATGAGAGCATGTGGAGCGGTGGAAGGACGAAAGCTCGTTCTTGTGGACACACCTGGGTTTTTTGACACCGATCTGACAACTGAAGAACTGCAACAGGAGATAATACATTGCCTGGCCTTGAGTTCTCCTGGTCCTCATGCGTTTCTACTCGTTATACAGATAGATCGATATACAGAGGAGCAGCAGCGCACCGTAGAAATGATTCTGGAGATGTTTAATAAAGACATCAGCAATCACAGCATCCTGATATTCTCACACGCCGACAAACTCAGAGAAGAATCCATTGAAAGGTTCGTTTCGAGACAAAATCGAAAAGTTCAAGACCTCGTGAAGAGATTTGGGAGGCGTTTCGTGGCCTTTGACAACACAAACCCTACAAACCCAGAACAAGTGAATCGACTCCTGCAGAAAGTGGACGAGCTTCTGGTCATGAATGAGAACCGTCACTTCACTAATGAAGTCACAGAGGCAATGCAAACAGCCCAGAAGATAATAGAAGAGAGAATGCAAGCAGAAACGGCTGAAAGAACGAGGAAAATAAAGGAGGATGTCAAGAAAATGGCTGATCTTAGGAGGGCTGAGTTCATTGCTGCCATGAATCAAGAGAGGCAAGAAACTGAACAAAAAAGGAAATTTATACAAGGCAGGATTGGTCAGATCCAGATGGAGATAAAGAAGGCAGAGCAGAATTTGCAACGGTTCAGAGCATCTTTGAGGATGGAGCAGGAGAACCTGAGAACACTGGTGGAAAGAGAGATGAAGAAGGAGATTGAAAGAATGGAAAAAGAAGAGAAAGAAAAGAAGGACCTGGATATCTGGATCCAAGAAGAGGAGCAGAGGAGACTGAGTGAAGGAGCACAGAAGAATCCACTTTCTCCAGATTATAATAAAATGCTGTTTATGCTGACCATGTTTATGATGGGCACTGGGGCGTCATTTGCACCCGCGCTCTTACCGTTGCTGTTCCCTGCAGCTCCAGCGGTGGAAGCCGGGTTTGCAGCAGGGTTATTAACCAACTTGTTAGCTGCAGAAGGATGGGGTTTCGTTTGGGTGGCTGCTGGAGTCGCCAAAGCTGTGGTTCTGACCCGCTGCTCCATCCAGTGAAAATCAAGATATAGGCCTACCGCGAATAAGTGAAGAGCGAACAACATCAAGCTTTAAAAACAAGTCACATAATGGTCCAACAGTATATTCCTAAGTGTTATATATTCATATGCATTCTCTTCCATTAGCATACACAGAACATCTCGTTAGTTTTTGCTTTTTTAAATTCCAACTGAATTTGGGATCATATCCGTGTGTTTTATAAATGAGCCCCTAGTTTATTTAGTTATTTCGTTTTTTATTATTAATGTCCTCCTTAAGGATGCCAAAGAAGGATTGTTTAAAAAGCATCCATGAAACACACCAACCAGATCTGAGATCATTCACAACATTACAAACGTTTAATATGAAGGAAAAATCTGAAACAAAAAATCTTAGTTATCCTAGCTAACAAAAAAACAACAACAACAACATTAAAAACATTAAAGAGCATGCCCATTAATTCATGAAAAGGTTTCAAACAGTTGGTTATGTGAAAGTTAAAGGAACAATTGTATCGTTTTGCAAACAAGAATGTTACGTTTAAATGTTCTCTAATCATTCTAACAGGTAGAAACATTTAAAAATCATTACACGTGTGTCCTTTTACTTGTGGATGTTTGATTTTCTGGTATTCTTTTTTCTAGATTAGATAGATTATTTTTTTACTATTGTCAGTTTCATTCATTTCTACTTGCATATATCTCAAACTTTATTATATAATTATAGTCCTTGATTTTTGTAATGTACACTTTTCCTTTATGTTTAGACAATTGCATTCACTACAGTATTCAACTACATAAAGAGAGGCACATCAAACATGTTTTGAGTCTTTGGACTTACTTTGAGTTTTCTAATCTGTGTAATCAAACATTTCTTATTGTGTTTATGTTTTTGTTATTCATTTGTTTTATATAATTGAGTTATTTTAATTGTGTTACTTTTTATTTTGCTTATTTTAAGTTTAGCGATTTTATCCACCTATATTCATTATATTTATTATACACACTCACACACACTAATATCAATAAACTGCGTTAAACTTCTGATCACCGCTTTATTTTACACATGTGAGTATAAATATGACTGTTTAATGTTTAATCGTGTGTCGGTGCGGTCACGAGATGATGTATATTGTTCACTGGCTCAGGCCTGGAATGAAAGTATATTCCTCTATAAATGTAAATATGTATTATTAATTCAGTCACATTTATTTTACGTGATAATAATAGTATGTGGATGTTATCTTAATATACTGTATAATTAGTGACTGAGCGAGTCTAAGAGTAAGAAGTTACGAAAAGTACCATGGTATTACCTTGTTTCATGTGTGTGTGTGTGTGTGTGTGTGTGTGTGTGTGTCTGTTTCTAACACCATTATATTCTTTAAAGTATCCTGGAGTAACATGTAAATAATACCATGGTAACGTTAAATGATTGTGATCATGGATTATATCAAAGTACAGTAGTATTACCGTCACTGTACCATGATTTTACATATTAAATAGTCCATAAAAAGCCCTCTGGTAATTACCAGCAACAGGATTCCCTAATCTTTAATATGTGTGTATTATGGAAAAAAGAGAAATTGTACTTGCTTAATGTCACTTCAGGTAAGTCAACCTTTGAAAGATACTGACTGATATTTTATCTAAGGTGGTGGTATAAAATCCTAAGTATTAAAATTATTATAATTTTAAAAAATGTATATTTTCTAAAGATTTGTATATTTCAGAAAGTCAAACTGGTTCACTTCAGTCTGAATTCGTGCTGTGCTGCTCATTCTGGTTTAAATGTGTCATTCCAGTCATATACACGTATACAGAGCAATGAAATAGTTTTGTGATTTATACATTAAAACGAACCTTTTAAAGGCATTTTTCATTTATGTGAGCGAGAACAATGGATTGTACATTTTAAAATTATTTATTTATTTATTTTGTATTTTTGTGTTATAAATAGTAAATATTTT